AAAAAAAGAAAAAAAGAAAAAAAAAAGTCTATAGTGATGAAATGGGTTGATTTTTTTTTCTCTTCCCGGAAATAAATAAAACGTTGAAGTAACAAACAAACAAACAGATTTCCACTAGGATGAGTTAGACAGAAGAAGAAAAAAAATATATCCCCGACATGACAACATTGGCGAAAACGAAGATGAATCTATAACGTAGACGTCTTAGTACCAGGAAAAGGCACTGTTTAGCAGCCACCAACGACTATGCTTTTCTTCAGTATACACAACGGTGCTTACATATACTGAGGTATGAGAAATATATTATATATATATATATATAAATTTCTGAATTATTAGTGCATCGAAAAAAGCATGTAGATGCTTAGAAACCGCTTGTGGACCAGTTACCTTTATGAGACTAGATGTTTACTGGAGAAATATAGGATGATATTTTATCGGGCTCATTGACTTATTATTGCACTCTGATCTAATAATTACATCAGAATTAATGACGTTATTACAAACACTAAAATGTTAACAACACACAAGCAGACACGGACCTTTATTAATGAACGGATAAGATTAATATTATTTAAATCTTTCAACACGCGAAAATGGTCTCATTTTAGTGACTGATCCACAAGTCAATTTTCACACAAAAAAATTGTCCTTATATATCAATTAATCGCTCTTCATATGAAAGAAACATCAACTATATTCATAAATGATATATTTTAAATACATCTTCATGTTGTTTAGTGAACTGATTGAAAATTAAACACGAGATTTGTTGCTAAACTGCATTTGTAAAAAAATATTTAGTATATAGTAAGAAGGCCACTGCAATTTCCTGCAGAATAGTTTTTTTTCTTTTAAATTACACAACAATAACATGAGATTTTTTCTTCTTCAATTCGTTTTTAACAATAAACTGGTTTATCATTTTACAACGATAATATTTTGGCACATACACCGCACAGTTAACTTCATCAGTGCTTTTGATTTGGCAAATAAACCAGGATTTTGCACACCGCAATTTTGTTTTCATCCCCAATACACATGTTGCTTAAACCAGTTCATTGCGAAATTATACATTTAAAAAAATCCATCATGGTTAGAACTGTGACTCCAAGTGACATCTCAAATGAACTACAAGATCCTGGAGAATTTTATGCCTGTTATCTTATAACTAACCATTCGAGAGATCAATCTATTTCGAAATTCTTAAAGAAGATGATATCATTTCCCTTCGCTTCATCTCACGCCCGATATAACTGTGTATAATATATATATATTTTTTTTCCCAACACATTCAACAAAGGTGATAAGTGATGTCTTTATGTTAATGAATGAAAGTCTTATACGGTACCTTTACTTAAAGAGGCAAACAAAAATGGGAGAGAAAGATTAAAAGAACAGAAAAGAAAAATTCTCTCACGAACGAAAGAAAAAGAACGAGAGAGAGAGATAGAGATAGAAAAAAAATAAAACGTTCGAGAAAATTTAAATTTCACACAATTCAAAATAATCCTCATCAATTTTTTTTCCCTTAAAAAAAGGGGGACGAAGTAGAAGATGTAGAAGAAGAAGAAGAAAAAAAAAAACAAGGCCATCTAGTTTCCAACACCCTCTCACGTCTCCTCTCCCTTCCGATGACGTCATCACCAATATTCGCCATCTTGGAGAGCTTGGAAGAACCTAAAGACCACGTAAGAGAAATAAATCCACGTCATGGAGATGGTTAAGACGATGAAACCGACGATGATGTTGGCCGTGTAACCGTGGGAGTTGATGAGGAGGAGGATGCCGCCGGAGAACGCCATGACCATATTCATTAACGTGAAGAACACCCAAGGCAGGAGGAGGAACCGCCGTTTCTGAGGAAGAACGAACGGGGGTTAAGACCTGGCACTTGGGGGGTGGGGGGTAGGGGGTGGGGGGCGTTGAGTGGGTTTGGTGGGGGGGGGGGTGAGGGTGGAAGGTAATAATAAGATATATAATATGGAACAAGGTATTTTATATGCAATTGGATTTCTAATATGGAATACGGTATTTTATGTAATACGGCGTAAGGTATTTAATATGGAATGAGCTTTTTAATATGGACTAAAATTTCTAATATGGAATAAGATACTTAATATAAAAAAAAATAAAAAAAAAAATAAAATAACATGGAATATAATAATTTACATGGAATAAGACATTTAATTTGAGATAAGATTTGACATGCAATAAAATTTAATAAAGAATAATATATATAAACATGGTGTCTCTAACATAAAATGATTGATGTTAATTTTTTGCATGAGAGAGAGAGAGAGAGAGAGAGAGAGAGAGAGAGAGAGAGAGAGAGAGAGAGAGAGAGAGACGAGAAGATAGAACAAGAGAAACCGAGAGTGAGAGAGACACGAGAAGGGATAGAGAGAGAAACCGAGAGAGAGAGGGAGACAACAAAAAAGAGCGAAAAACCGAGAGACAGAGAGAGAAAAAAAGAAACAAACAAATATAGAAACACAGATACACAGAAACAAACAATCACACACACACACACACACACACACCCAACCAAACCAAACTAACTACAAAATAAGCAAGAACCCTCACACACATAAACAAACAAACACACAGACAAACAAACAAACAAACATACAAACACACAGACAAACAAACAAACAAACACACAAACAAACAAACACACAAAACCTCAAATCCTCACCGTCCTGGCGCCATGAATCAGCAAAAGAGACACAATGATGTAGATCGTGGCGACCAGCAGCAGAACCGACAGGAAAATATAAGCAGCTGAAAAAGAAAGAAAAAAAAAGTGTTAATCTTGAATTGACACAAATTAATGATTCCGTAATAGCGTTAATAAATGGAACTTTAAAAAATAAAATCTTTGATAACGAAAATAGATGGCTGGGGGAAAAAACGAAGAAAAAAGTGTTAATCTTGAATTGACACAAATTAATTATTCCGTAATAGCGTTAATAAATGGAACTTTAAAAAATAAAATCTTTGATAACGAATTGATAACACAAAGGAATCAATTATTTATTAAAAACACAAGTTGAATTAATGATTATTTATTGACAAAAATAATACTATAATTTTATTAACCAATCTCTAATAACACAAATGAATTAATTAAAACTTTAATAACACAAATAAATCAATTATTCTTTAATAACCCAACTTAATGACACAAAATGATCTATCTAAACTTTAATAACATAAATTAATGAACCATTTCTTAATAATGCAAATAAATGACACAAAACTAATCAATCTTTCATCAACACAAATCAGTGAATTAATATCTAATATCACAAAAAATAATTATTAATCTATCTTTAACAACACGAAAAAATAAAAAGAATTAATTCAGTAAAAAAAAAAAAAAAAAAAAAAAAAAAAAAACGAAAAAACGCATGTATAAAATGAGACAAAAAATGAAAGCATTAAAATCCCTCATAAATGCGATTATCTAATTGAGAATACAAAAAAATAAAACACAATAAAGTAAGATGAAAAAAATAATATTGATAATAATCGTGATAAACAAATAAATTTTAAAAACTGATAAATAAAAACTGGTTCCGAAAAGACCATTTTTTTTAATGCCACTTGACAAACATAAAAAAATGGATTAATATATCATAAATAGTAAGAAGAAGTTAATGTAAAAAAAAAAAAAGAAAAAAAAATCTCATTACAAGTTATCAAAAAAAAAAAAAAAAAAAAAAAAAAAATCTCATTACAAGTTATCGAAAAAAAAAAAAAAAAACGGAAACTACCAGACTAAGAAGTACTAAAAAAAACACATAAAAAGTTAAAGATAAAAGCCGATTAATTATTCAAATCGTCAGTGGAACTATTTTTCTCCAGTTAAATAAATATCATAACGGACCAACAATTTCGTTTTTACAATCAAGAACGAACTAATTTTAAAATTTCATATAAGTAAAAAAACGAGTCAGTTAACTGCATCAATCAAGGTTTTTTTTTTTCAAAAAATAAAAGTAAAAACGAACTAACTTCCTACACAGTTTCTTTTTTTTCAAATAATGAAAAAAATACCCACACTTTTATCAGTAAAGAATTTATAAAAAAAAAAATTTTTTCAAAATAGAAAAAAATCTACTCATATATTTTTTTTTATATAAATATACAAAAATAAACTTCACACACCCTTCATTTCAAATAAAAAAAACACATATATCAATAATAACCAACAAATAACGCCAACAACAAACAACCACATACCCACCCCACCAAAAAAAAAAGAAAAAAAAAAAAGAAAAAGAAAAGAAAATAAAAAAATTGTCCCAGCGACCACTCACCCGCATCCGAATCCGGGTCGACGATACCGAACGTAACAGCATTTTCGAACTTTATTCTTTTCTTCGTCTCCTCTATGTTCAGGAGGCAGTAGATGGCCACCACGAACTCCACCACGCCGACGGCCTGCAGGAAAAGGAAGAGAAAGAGAGATAGAGCGTTAATGAATTAATTAAAAAAAGGAGAGAGAGAAAGTCGGAAAAGATAAATTTTAAAAAATTGGGCTCGTTATCGCTGCGGGGGAGGATGATGGGGGGGGGAGGGTGTTGATAATGGAATTCATCAATATGGCTAAGCATCTGGAGGTAATATATGCAGTATTAATCTATCTGTCTATTCTTTTTTCACAATATTCTATCTATCCATATGCATGAGAGTATAAATGAACGAGTGTGTGTGTACGCGTTCGTGTGCACCGCAATCGGAAAAAATATACACATGAATACATAATACATCCATGAGTTAGTATATATCAACGAAATATACACAGAACATCTCAAAATACACCCACACTGCCACAAAACAACATCGAAACGTAAGAAGAATAAAGAAAACGAAAGAAAAGAAAAAAATCTAACAACGGAAAGCGCAACTCACGACCGAATCAACTAAGAAACGGGGAAAGAAGAAAGAAAAGAAAGAAAAGAAAAAAAGAAAAAAAAAGAAAGATAAAAAATAAATAAAAGAAAGAAACAAGAAAGAAAAAAAGAAAAGAGAGAAAAAAAACAGAAAGAAAAAAATAAAGAAAAAAATAAGACAGAAAAAAAAGAAACAAAGAAACAAAGAAAAAGAGAGAGAGAAAAAGAGAAAGAAGGAAAAAACATAAAGAAACGAATGAAAAGATCCCCTCCCCCTAGGCCCTTGAATTCAAACAGCCAATCACCTCTATTTCCTCACTCTCTCCTCTCATTACGAGCGAGACACAACCCGTGGGCGGCCAGACCGGTTTGGCGGGCGTGGGCGCTGTCCAAACACGGGAAGAGAGTACTACACATGATATAATCCGCGCCCACGTGAAGGCTAGGTGAGCAGAGGTGGGCAGTGCATTCTCCTGGGCACGCACAAAAAATATGCCCCCTTTTTTCTTCGTTTCTGTCTATCTCTCTCTCCTTTCTTTTTTTTTCTTTCTCTTTTACTCTCCTTCTCTCTTTCTTTCTTTCTTGTTTCTCTCTCTCCTTTCTTTCATTTTCTCTCCCTCTTTCTTTCTTTCTTTCTCTCTCTCTTTTCTTTCTCTTTTACTCTCCCCCTCTCTCTCTTTCTTATTCTTTCTCTCTCTCTCTTTCTTATTCTCTCTCTCTCTCTCTCTCTCTCTCTCTCTCTCTCTCTCTCTCTCTCTCAAAGGGGAAAATTTTCTTATTATAGCTTAGGACGGGTTAGTTAGTTATTAAAGGCAGCATGACTGTATCTTCAAAATGTGTTTTATTATTTTGGCTTGTGACATTTTTTTTTTTTGTCTATAAACTATATAAAATTTGACTTTGGATAAATTAGTATATGTTGTCTTTGAAGGTGAGAGAACTGCACATTTAATTACGAAAAAATATGGCCTTATTTAGACAAAGGAAAGAACAGTATATTTTAAAAGCGAGAGGACTAGTATCTTTTAAAAAATAATATACGTACTTAATTTAGCTTAGGACAGAACATAGTAACTCGGTCATATGACAATTTCAGAGAAGTATTCGTCTTTAAACATCTTGTAAAATTTATTTCTCCACTCACACTTATCCCTCATACTCCGCCTCATCCTCATCCTCATCCTAATATTGAGGTAGATCTAATGCAGGTCAGTTACCTCCTAAAAGTATATAAATACATTTTAAAAAGTTATATAGGCTCTTATATCTTATAATTTTTTTTTGATCTATATCCATAATGTCTATTTTATCTTATAATATTATATACTATAATATCTATTTCATCTATAACTATAATGTCCATTTTATTTTATAATATTACATATCATTAATATCTGTTTTCTATAAAAATTTATCTTATAATAATGATTTTTTTTTTTTTTCAAAGGTATATAATTTTAGGATGTTGCAAAATTCATTGCTCTCTCTCTCCCCCCCCCTCCCCCCAACGCCATCCTTTCCTGAACACGCTCACCACGCCCACGCCCACGCCCACGCCCACGCCCACGCCCACGCCCACGCCCACGCCCACGCCCACGCCCACGCCCACGCCCACGCCCACGCCCACGCCCACGCCCACGCCCACGCCCACGCCCACGCCCACGCCCACGCCCACGCCCACGCCCACGCCCACGCCCACGCCCACGCCCACGCCCACGCCCACGCCCACGCCCACGCCCACGCCCACGCCCACGCCCACGCCCACGCCCACGCCCACGCCCACGCCCACGCCCACGCCCACGCCCACGCCCACGCCCACGCCCACGCCCACGCCCACGCCCACGCCCACGCCCACGCCCACGCCCACGCCCACGCCCACGCCCACGCCCACGCCCACGCCCACGCCCACGCCCACGCCCACGCCCACGCCCACGCCCACGCCCACGCCCACGCCCACGCCCACGCCCACGCCCACGCCCACGCCCACGCCCACGCCCACGCCCACGCCCACGCCCACGCCCACGCCCACGCCCACGCCCACGCCCACGCCCACGCCCACGCCCACGCCCACGCCCACGCCCACGCCCACGCCCACGCCCACGCCCACGCCCACGCCCACGCCCACGCCCACGCCCACGCCCACGCCCACGCCCACGCCCACGCCCACGCCCACGCCCACGCCCACGCCCACGCCCACGCCCACGCCCACGCCCACGCCCACGCCCACGCCCACGCCCACGCCCACGCCCACGCCCACGCCCACGCCCACGCCCACGCCCACGCCCACGCCCACGCCCACGCCCACGCCCACGCCCACGCCCACGCCCACGCCCACGCCCACGCCCACGCCCACGCCCACGCCCACGCCCACGCCCACGCCCACGCCCACGCCCACGCCCACGCCCACGCCCACGCCCACGCCCACGCCCACGCCCACGCCCACGCCCACGCCCACGCCCACGCCCACGCCCACGCCCACGCCCACGCCCACGCCCACGCCCACGCCCACGCCCACGCCCACGCCCACGCCCACGCCCACGCCCACGCCCACGCCCACGCCCACGCCCACGCCCACGCCCACGCCCACGCCCACGCCCACGCCCACGCCCACGCCCACGCCCACGCCCACGCCCACGCCCACGCCCACGCCCACGCCCACGCCCACGCCCACGCCCACGCCCACGCCCACGCCCACGCCCACGCCCACGCCCACGCCCACGCCCACGCCCACGCCCACGCCCACGCCCACGCCCACGCCCACGCCCACGCCCACGCCCACGCCCACGCCCACGCCCACGCCCACGCCCACGCCCACGCCCACGCCCACGCCCACGCCCACGCCCACGCCCACGCCCACGCCCACGCCCACGCCCACGCCCACGCCCACGCCCACGCCCACGCCCACGCCCACGCCCACGCCCACGCCCACGCCCACGCCCACGCCCACGCCCACGCCCACGCCCACGCCCACGCCCACGCCCACGCCCACGCCCACGCCCACGCCCACGCCCACGCCCACGCCCACGCCCACGCCCACGCCCACGCCCACGCCCACGCCCACGCCCACGCCCACGCCCACGCCCACGCCCACGCCCACGCCCACGCCCACGCCCACGCCCACGCCCACGCCCACGCCCACGCCCACGCCCACGCCCACGCCCACGCCCACGCCCACGCCCACGCCCACGCCCACGCCCACGCCCACGCCCACGCCCACGCCCACGCCCACGCCCACGCCCACGCCCACGCCCACGCCCACGCCCACGCCCACGCCCACGCCCACGCCCACGCCCACGCCCACGCCCACGCCCACGCCCACGCCCACGCCCACGCCCACGCCCACGCCCACGCCCACGCCCACGCCCACGCCCACGCCCACGCCCACGCCCACGCCCACGCCCACGCCCACGCCCACGCCCACGCCCACGCCCACGCCCACGCCCACGCCCACGCCCACGCCCACGCCCACGCCCACGCCCACGCCCACGCCCACGCCCACGCCCACGCCCACGCCCACGCCCACGCCCACGCCCACGCCCACGCCCACGCCCACGCCCACGCCCACGCCCACGCCCACGCCCACGCCCACGCCCACGCCCACGCCCACGCCCACGCCCACGCCCACGCCCACGCCCACGCCCACGCCCACGCCCACGCCCACGCCCACGCCCACGCCCACGCCCACGCCCACGCCCACGCCCACGCCCACGCCCACGCCCACGCCCACGCCCACGCCCACGCCCACGCCCACGCCCACGCCCACGCCCACGCCCACGCCCACGCCCACGCCCACGCCCACGCCCACGCCCACGCCCACGCCCACGCCCACGCCCACGCCCACGCCCACGCCCACGCCCACGCCCACGCCCACGCCCACGCCCACGCCCACGCCCACGCCCACGCCCACGCCCACGCCCACGCCCACGCCCACGCCCACGCCCACGCCCACGCCCACGCCCACGCCCACGCCCACGCCCACGCCCACGCCCACGCCCACGCCCACGCCCACGCCCACGCCCACGCCCACGCCCACGCCCACGCCCACGCCCACGCCCACGCCCACGCCCACGCCCACGCCCACGCCCACGCCCACGCCCACGCCCACGCCCACGCCCACGCCCACGCCCACGCCCACGCCCACGCCCACGCCCACGCCCACGCCCACGCCCACGCCCACGCCCACGCCCACGCCCACGCCCACGCCCACGCCCACGCCCACGCCCACGCCCACGCCCACGCCCACGCCCACGCCCACGCCCACGCCCACGCCCACGCCCACGCCCACGCCCACGCCCACGCCCACGCCCACGCCCACGCCCACGCCCACGCCCACGCCCACGCCCACGCCCACGCCCACGCCCACGCCCACGCCCACGCCCACGCCCACGCCCACGCCCACGCCCACGCCCACGCCCACGCCCACGCCCACGCCCACGCCCACGCCCACGCCCACGCCCACGCCCACGCCCACGCCCACGCCCACGCCCACGCCCACGCCCACGCCCACGCCCACGCCCACGCCCACGCCCACGCCCACGCCCACGCCCACGCCCACGC